GGGACACACAGCAGGGACACATAGCAGGGACACACTGCAGGGACAAACAGCAGGGGCACACAGAAGGGACACACAGCAGGGACACACAGCAGGGACACACACACACACACAGTAGGACTCACAGCAGAGACAAGCAGCAGGGACACACACACACAGCAGGGACAATCAGCAGGGACACACAGCAGGGACAATCAGCAGGGACACACAGTAGGGACACACAGTAGGGACACACAGCAGGGACACACAGCAGGGACACACAGTAGGGACATACAGCAGGGACACACTCTAGGGACACACAGCAGGGACACACTGCAGGGACAAACAGCAGGGACACACAGCAGGGACATACAGCAGGGACACATAGCAGGGGCACACTGCAGGGACAAACAGCAGGGACACACTCTAGGGACACACTCTAGGGACACACAGCAGGGACACACAGCAGGGACACACAGCAGGGACACATAGCAGGGACACACAGAAGGGACACACAGCAGGGACACACAACAGGGACACACAGCAGGGACACACAGCAGGGACACACAGCAGGGACACACAGCAGGGACACATAGCAGGGACACACTGCAGGGACAAACAGCAGGGACACATAGCAGGGACACACAGAAGGGACACACAGCAGGGACACACAACAGGGACACACAGCAGGGACACACAGCAGGGACACACAGCAGGGACACACAGCAGGGACACATAGCAGGGACACACAGCAGGGACAATCAGCAGGGACAAACAGTAGGAACACACAGCAGGGACACACAGCAGGGACACACAGTATGGACACACAACAGGGACACACAACAGGGACACACAGCAGGGACACACTGCAGGGACGCAGAGCAGGGACACACAGTAGGGACACACTGCAGGGACACACAGCAGGGACACACAGAAGGGACACACAGTAGGGACACACTGTAGGGACACACAGCAGGGACACACAGCAGGGACACACAGCAGGGACACACAGAAGGGACACACAGTAGGGACACACTGCAGGGACACACTGCAGGGACTCACAACAGGGACACACAGCAGGGGCATACAGCTGGGACACACAGCAGGGACACACACCAGGGACACACAGTAGGGACACACAGCAGGGACACATAGCAGGGACACACAGCAGGGACACACAGAAGGGACACACAGTAGGGACACACTGCAGGGACACACAGCAGGGACACACAGCAGGGACACACAGAAGGGACACACAGCAGGGACACACAGCAGGGACACACAGAAGGGACACACAGTAGGGACACACAGCAGGGACACACAGTAGGGACACACAGTAGGGACACACAGAAGGGACACACAGTAGGGACACACAGCAGGGACACACAACAGGGACACACAGCAGGGACACACAGCAGGGACACACAGCAGGGACACACAGCACGGACACCCAGCAGGGACACACAGCAGGGACACACAGCAGGGACACACACCAGGGACACACAGCAGGGACACACAGCAGGGACACACAGCAGGGACACACACCAGGGACACACAGTAGGGACACACTGCAGGGACACACAGTAGGGACACACAGCAGGGACACACAGCAGGGACACACAGTAGGGACACACTGCAGGGACACACAGCAGGGACACACAGTAGGGACACACTGCAGGGACACACAGCAGGGACACACAGCAGGGACACACAGTAGGGACACACTGCAGGGACACACAGCAGGGACACACAGCAGGGACACACAGTAGGGACACACTGCAGGGACACACAGCAGGGACTCACAACAGGGACACACAGCAGGGACACACAGCAGGGACACACAGCAGGGACACACAGCAGGGACACACAGTAGGGACACACTGCAGGGACACACAGTAGGGACTCACAACAGGGACACACAGCAGGGACACACAGCAGGGACACACAGAAGGGACACACAGCAGGGACACACAGTAGGGACACACTGCAGGGACACACTGCAGGGACACACAGTAGGAACTCACAACAGGGACACACAGCAGGGACACACAGGGAAACATAGCAAGGGACAACACAGCAGGGGACAACACAGCAGGGACACACAACACGGACACACAGCAGAGACACACAGCAAGGACATACATCAGGGACACACAGCAGGGACACACAGCAGAGATACACAGCAGGGACACACAGCAGGGACATACAGCAGGGACAAACAGCAGGGACACACAGCAGGGACACACAGCATTGATACACAGCAGGGACACACACCAGGGACACACAGCTGGGACACACACACAGTGGGGACACACTGCATGGACACACAGCTTGGACACACTGGAGGGAAACATAGCAGGGGAGAACACAGCAGGGACACACAGCAGGGAGACACAGCAGGGAGACACAGCATTGATACACAGCAGGGTCACACACCAGGGACACACAGCTGGGACACAATCACAGTGGGGACACACTGCATGGACACACAGCTTGGACACACTGGAGGGGAAACATAGCAGGGGAAAACACAGCAGGGACACACAGCAGGGACACACAGCAGGGGACAACACAGCAGGGACACACAGCAGGGACACACAGTAGGGACACGCATCAGGGACACACAGCAAGGAACAACACAGCATGGGACAACAAAGCAGGGGCACACAGCAGGGACACACACAGCAGGGACACAAATCAGGGACACACAGCAGACACACACAGCAGATACACACAGCAGCATTGCACAGAAGGGACATACAGCAGGGATACACAGTAATGACACATTGCCGGGACACTCAGCAGGGACACACAGCAGAAATACACAGCAGGGACACATAGCAGGGACACACAGCAGGGAACAACACAGCAGGGGACAACAAAGCAGGGACACACAGCAGGGATACACAGCAGAGACACACAGCAGGGACACACAACAGGAGACAACACAGCAGGGACACACAGCAGGGACACACAACAGGGGACAACACAGCAGGGACACACAACAGGGGACAACACAGCAGACACACACAACAGGGGACAACACAGTAGGGACACACAACAGGGGACAACACTGCAGGGACACACAACAGGGGACAACACAGCAGGGACACACAGCAGGGACGCACAACAGGGGACAACACAGCAGGGACACACAACAGGGGACAACACAGCAGGGGCACACAGCAGGGACACACAACAGGGGACAACACAGCATGCTGCCACTTACTGTTCACATTGTAGTTTAGTGGGACCATCGTTCCACTCAAGGCCAGTGGACAAACTACCAGCCACAGCTCCTAGCTCCCTGGAGAGGGAAGCAGGCTCCCTCCACTCAAAGGAAGGGAAAGCAGACAATTCAAACAAGGATTCAGACGTCACAGTAACCTCCAAGGGCACGACCTCTGAAAATTGATAATTGATCCTCAAGCCCCATCCTGAGCAAAGACCGAACGTTTCTAGGAGCTGCTGTCAAAGGATATGAAACTTGATATGTATCCTGAACCGGAAATTGAGCATTCATATGGATCTAAAAAAATTGACAGGTTGAATCAGTACGATTATTCTTCCTATGTCCCAGATCGAGTCACCCTGAGGTGAAAACGACCCTGTACCAAACAGGAGGAATGTCACCAGAATATAGAAACCCATTTGGTATCTATAAAATTTGAAAGCCGCAGAATCAAGCTCAGTCCCAGACAACATTGCCATAGCACACTGCAAAGGAAAGCTAAAATAAACAGGACAGACAAGCATGACACTGGCCCATAGACCTTTGCAGACCTATGCTTCTCTGCATAGTCAGCAGAGAAGACCTGGACTCCAGGAGTACGTACTCGAAGATTCCTAAATTACATCTGTCTGAACCGCACACAAAAAAGTTCGAGGGCTGCCAGTGACTGTAAAAGAAACGTGGCAACAAAGAGAGTGCCGCTGTGCTCTGAAGTGAGGCCAGAGGCGTCAGGATGGCGCGTGTGGTCGTGCTGAGGTCACGTGGCAGCTGAGTGCTGCATGAGGGATACATAAGGTGCCCACAAGTAATACTTCAGCAAGCAGCCAATTCCCAAGGCACAGTGAAAGCGGATGATTAAACCGAGCAGCTCGGAGAAGGTATCTCACACGCTACTGTATGTGACAACATTTTTAGAGCCATGTAAAAGTCTGTGCAATCACAACACATGCGGCGCTCACTAAAGAATAAGCTCACAGCGGGCAAACAATTTGTTTAACAAATGATAAACCAAAGTTTACTTTAGAGATCTGTAAGTCAGGTGGCAGGTAGTGAAAATTACAGGACATCAGTACGATACTTGGCTCTACTTAGGAAGCTGTGTATGGTTAATAAGAAGGAAAGTTACAATTTAATTCAATATTCCCTCTACCAGTCATTCTGTGTAAAGTAATTATGAAGCGAAAGCGCTAAGGACGTTTGACTGTATATAACTTGGAATGGAATATGATGCCAAGGCTCTGGGTTTGGCCGATTGGAAGGAATGGTGCATCAAAACTTAACTGCAGGATGCAAGGCCTCTGCTGTACCGACCAGTCAAAGTAGTTGGGCAAAGGTGTTCGGAGATATCCCCACCTCAACCCGGGTGGAAATACTGACGTGTTCTTGGGAGTGTCTAGCCCATCCACTTGGGCTGGACGGTAGAGCGACGGTCTCGCCTCATCTTTTATAGAGCTTATTATAGTCTTGGTGGCTTGGCGCTTTCTCCTGATACTCAACTTCCCCCCCCCCCCCACCTCCCTTCTTCCAGGTCAGTGTTCAATCCCCGACCGTCCAAGATGTTGGGCTTTGTTCCTTCCCCCCATCCCATCCCAAATACTTATCCTCATATCCCTCCACATGGAAAGCATCCACGTGAAAAACAGAGAGAGACGATATTGAAGACTGGACAGTTTTGGAGTGAATTTAGAGATAATGATCTCAATTATTTTAGAAGGTAGATATCCTCCACAGTATGGAATATTTAATATGTAATTATCTTAACGATAATGTGGTAATGTTTCCTCTCACTTAGGGAACTTTCATCGGGAAGGAACTAAAACTTGAGGTAAGAGGAGAGATCGACGAGGTGCCGCTGGTGATCACTTTCCACTACGTAGACGGCCGCCAGGTGACCGTCTACGCCACCTACCGGGAGGATGGATACTTCACTTTGTCCATTACAACTGAACTTAAAAACATCAGCATTGGCATCAGGAAGGTGTGTAGTAAATATAAGCTTAATTACTAATTTATGAGCAAAGAATATATGGAAAAATATTTTTTAACTAAAAATGTCACATTGGGTAAGTTGTAATTATTGCTTGTAACACTGATACCGTAGAGAATACTTGCATCAGTAATTTTTTTATCTGTAATTTTATTTTAACTTTAATTGTGGACTTTAAACTCAGTTGGTAAATAATTTTATTTTATTTTGATAATTCTCCTTACAAATGTATCCCACACACTTGGGGGGCTTAAATTGTTAATAGATTAGGCTAGAGCAAGTAATTTACTTGATCAATATGTTTCATTTTGAATATTTATTTTATTAATTAAAATTCATTTAAATATACTTGCTCTATCCTTGTGTTAATATAGACAAGGACAGCTTAGCTGTTGGGTTGAGATGGTCCTCGTTGCCAGGACGTCCTCTAACATGATGTGTAGAGGTGAGCACCGGCTGCCCGCCGCTCTTACCCTTCTCGTGCGCCGTGTCTCCTTCACTGTAGCACACTTGAGTCTCCCAACCACTCTCAGTGTTAAGGATGTGCATAGAATATTATTGTAAGTTTAAAGCAAGGATTTTAAAGAGAAATGTAGATTTATCTTTAAAATGTAGATACTGATAACAGCATCGCAGTGATAACAGAATCGTACTGATAACAAAATCCTAGTGATAACAGAATCCTATTGATAATAGTAGTAGTAGGCATCCATCAGTCTCAGGAGAGTAAGGAGGGAGGGAGGGAGTTATCAGGGGAAATTGCGAAGCCATTATGGTTGTATAGCACAGGGAAGGGGGTCAGGATAAGAACTCGGGATTGGACGGGAGGGAGGGAGGGGGAGGGGAAGGAATGATGCCCAACCACTTGGACGGTCGGTTACTGAACGCCAACCTGCATGAAGCGAGACCGTCGCTATACCGTCCAACCCAAGTGGTTGGGCGTAATAATACGAGAGGCTCCTTACCTTCTGGAACCTTCAATACAAATACTCATTATATTATCAACAGTAATGATAATAATAATAATAGTGAAAAAATCAGTTGAAACACTGAGGGGACTCGACCCAGCGACCTGGGCACTACCAGCCGCGTACCTTACCTCTGCGCCACACCATGGCATATGTTACTCAGTCTGGGAGTCGACTAAATCCACGGGAAGTGTGGAGGCTTGTACTAAAGCCAAAGTTGTACACATACCCGCCATGCACTCTGGTGTAGGTAAAGTAGTTCATCAACCCCACGCTCCAGCTTCACACATGAAGAACTCGCACTAACCTGGTTTGTATCAATGACAACATCAGTTGGAGCACTACAGGGGACTCGACCCAGTGACCAGTTCTCCAGGTGCATTCCCAGGTTGTGTAAGTTATTACATGTCGTGGTACAAGGGCGTACCACGTGCGTGTCGTGCGTGACTGCGTACTGGGTATCAAGGTACTGTGTATCATTCTACCTGGATCGTTGGTTCAAGTCATCTCAAAAGTAAAAATAATTGATATTAATTTTTATCATGAATTTTATTATTTTATTTAAATTTTACTTATCAGTATTATTACTGCTCTCATTATTGTTGTTGTTATTATTGATTTGATTACATTTATTACTGTTTAGTATAGAGATGCGGCATGATGTACAGGTAGTTTATCATGGAGCAATATTCCTATACTATTATAATAATAATTACAATAACACTCTCAAGCAGAAAATTCTCCAATCATATTTACATTTTGCCAACAGTCGAAGGTTGTGTAGAGTTATTGATCAAGCAGTAGATGACTTAGATATCACAGAGAACTTCGAGAAAGCAATAATGGATATTGCAATCTCTTTATTAAAATAATTCAAGCAAGTTGCTATACACAGCTATTTTATCTCATTCTGTGTCCCACAGTCCAGTCCAACGTCATGTGATATATAATAAGCTTCAACAAAAGGGTTACTGTATTAAAAGTAGCTGGAAATATCAAGCCTTTGCCCCGGAAACGTTAACTAGTGTGAGCACGTGTCAAAAACAACAGTAACTGTCACGTAATTTCTTGCTTAGGTAAATAGTCTCGGATCATGAGAAACAATGTTAAATTATTATATTTTGATTATCACGGAAGTGAGATGTCACTTCAGGAAAGTTCGTGTTGGATTCCTCCATAAATGAAAGTGTTGTCTTCAGGGGAACGGAACGTCGTACTCGCTGACCACGGAGGGTCTGGTGGAGCTGCGAGGACAGAGGACGAGGATGCACCACCAGCTGGCCATCACCCCGGAGACAGCGTCCTCAGTGCTTACACTCTCGCCCTTCCTCGGCCAAGCTTTTATGGTAGGGGAAAGTTTCACTAGTTATGTTTATATAGTAGCAAGTACAACCCGATAAATATATACCAAACAATTTAGGATGAAAAGTAAATACATATAAGACATCTTCATTGTTATTTCTATGAAGAAACTGCAGGTCAAATATGTTAATGCCAAATCCTTTGCCAACAAGAGTTTTGAGGGGTTTAAGACGCTCAACAAGTTTTTGAGCAGGTTGCTGATGAGATTTGTATCATTAACCTCGACTCCAAGATATTTATAAGACTCACAAGTCTCCACGGGCACTCCATTAACAGTATAGTTAACATGAAGAGGATGGGGAATAAGAACCATTGTTTTATCAACAGAGATTATGAGGCCACATTTTACTACTTTCTTGGAGAATGCATCAAGTAAAACTTGTAGCCTTGGTTTACTGTGTGCCATAATACAAGTTTCATCAGCATAACATATAACAGTTTCAGTAGGTTGTACAGGTATGACATGGACAAGTTTGTGCATAAATATATTAAAGAGCATAGGGCTTAGGACACCATCATGAGGTGTGCCTAGTTCGAATGCACCTGTTCTTGTACTTTTAACTCATTTAAATAAGACACTAGAACACCTATTGGATAGGCAGCTCTTTTTTAATCCAATTCAGAAGATTACCCTTGATTCCAAATTCAGCAAGTTGCCCTGATATTATTTTGTCATTCGCTGCATCGAAAGCTGACTTTAGGTCAATAAAGGCTGCCTGTGTCCCATCCTGGGAGTTTACAAAATATTCAGCAAAGCATGTTTGTGTGCTACACTTGGGCATAAAAGAAGCATAGATTAGGAACCAATTTTTCTTTGACCTGTAACATGACACGATTGAGAACAATTCTCTCCAAGACTTATACACATGTAAGATGTAAGGGAAATGGGTCTGAATTTTTGAGAGTTTGGTTTAGGAATTGGTACTATAAGGCTTTGTCCATTTCTTTGGTAAGATACCTTGTGAGAGGCTCATTTGATATAGGTCACGCAGAGGGTTATGTTGAGATGATTTCGGGTCTTAGAGTACCCTCGGCCCTGTCCTCGACCAGGCTTCCTTTTTGTTACACACCCCCAGGAAGCAGCCCATAGCACCTGTCTAACTCCCAGGTACCTATTTACTGCTTGGTGGACAGGTGCAGAAGGGTGAAAGAAACTCTGCCCATTTGTTTCTGGCTCCACCGGGAATCGAACCCGGAACGTCAAGACTGCAAACCCGAAGCGCTGTCTACTCAGCTGTCAGGCCTACATACAAATATATGTATATATATATATATATATATATATATATATATATATATATATATATATATATATATATATATATATATATATATATAGATGTATATACATATATATATATATATATATATATATATATATATATATATATATATATATATATATATATATATATATATATATATATATAGTGCTCCTGGCAGTATGGGTTTGAGTCACTTCTGGGGTGTGACTTTTCAGTTGCATATAGTCCTGGGGACCATTCAGGGTTGTTCGCATTTATGTTCCTCACGTGTGCCCCAAAGAATGATGTGATTTGATAAAATACGAAGCCCAAGATTACCAACCGAGTGCCGGCGGGGGGATGGAAATAGCTTCGGCTATCATTCTCGTTTGTCTGGTCGTGTTGATCGAGCGGTTAAAGGATCCTGTACGCCTGCAGAGTGCTCCTGGCAGTATGAGTTCGAGCCACTTCTGGGGTGTGAGTTTTCAGGTGCATACAGTCCTGGGGACCATTCAGGTTTGTTCCTAGTAGCCAGACTGCACTTCTTGGCCTACTATGCAAGGTCCGATATGCCTAATTGGCCGAGTGATTTTCTTTTTTCAACAAATTGTTTCTAATTGGTTTATTTTAATTATTATTATTATATTTTATTAAAAACATAAATTATTGACTTAGTTATGTTAATTTAGGTTAGGTTATGCTAAGTTAGGTTCGGTCATATATCTACGTTAGTTTTGACACAAATAAAAAAAAAATGAACTCATACATAGTGAAATGGATAGCTTAATCATTCCATAAGAAAATTTTTAGAAAAAATATATAAATTCAGGAAATTTTGGCTTATTATGCAAATCGGGCCTTTCACAGTAGGCCGAGAAGTGCGTTCTGGCTACTAGGTACAACATTATATATATATATATATATATATATATATATATATATATATATATATATATATATATATATATATATATATATATATATATATATATATATATATATATATATATATATATATATATATATATATATATATATATATATATATATATATATATATATATATATATATATATATATATATATATATGTCTCTAACATTCTGAAACCTATTTTGTTTGCTGATGATACTACCCTCATTTACTCCAACCCCAACCCACATACGCTAAATGATGTTGTTAATAATGAACTAAAAAAAGTCCACTTATGGATGTCAACCAACAAACTAACACTTAACATAGAAAAGACCTACTACATCCTATTTGGAAGCAAATCTACAAATGCAATTCAGCTTCAGATAGACAATGTAAACATTTGCAATAAAAATGATGGAAAGTTTCTTGGCATATTCATAGACAAGAGACTCAACTTCAGTACCCACATACAACACATAACTAAGAAAGTCTCTAAAACAGTTGGTATACTCTCCAAAATCAGATATTATGTACCTAACTCTGCTCTCATCTCTCTATATTATGCACTAATATATCCCTATCTCAACTATGGTATCTGTGCATGGGGTTCAACCACTGCAAACCACCTCAAGTCCATCATCACCCAGCAAAAATCTGCTATCAGAATAATATCAAATTCTGCTTTCAGACAGCACACAGCCCCCTTGTTTAACTCCCTAAACATGCTAAACATAATCTCACTCCATAAATTCTCTTGTGTCAACTACATTTACAAAACCCTGTTCTTAAATGCAAATCCTTGTCTGAAACTCTTCCTGGACAGATGTAACAGGACCCATTATCACCACACCAGAAATAAATATCTCTTTGATATCCCCAGAGTTAAACTTAATCTGTGTAAACACTCTATGCAAATAAAGGGACCCAGTTTATGGAATTCACTCCCTACTGAATTGAAAAGCTGTCCAACTTTTACATCATTCAAAATCAATACTAAAAAGTACCTAATTTCATCTTCATAGTTTTTCACTTTTTGCCTTAAAATTGCACTGTATCTATTGCTACCCAATCTCCCAACCTTTATGTTCCCAATTTGAACATCTTTACCATTGTGATCATTGCTGTCTGCTTATATGTGCTGCCAATCTGTCTATATGGTGTTTATAAATCTTGTTTATCTGTATCTTTTGCTACCCAGTCTCCCAATCTTTATGTACCCAATCTGAACATCTTTACCATTGTGATCATTGCTGTCTTATATGTGCTGTCAATCTGCTGTATGGTGTCTATTAATCTTGTTTTAAATTACTAATCAAACTGTCAATGTAATCAATCAGAGCTTTAATATAACAATGTGCTTTAATATACTTACTAAGCTCTCTCATCTCATTTTTCTCTTGCAATGTATCTTTATCATTTATCAATTCTGATAGAAATTACCTACTTAAAATTATCTGCTAGATTAAGGACCTGCCCGAGACGCTGTGCGTACTAGTGGCTTTACAAGAATGTATATACTGTACTATCCAATGTATTCTCACAAACCCAATGTACCTTCTTGTATATATATAAATAAATAAATAAATATATAAATAAATAAATATATAGGGGGGGTACCACCTCTGGTGCAATTATAGGGACCCACAGCCTCAGAGAAGGGAACACAGAGCATTCAGGGAAAAACTTGTCATTTAACTCTGAATACGTAAGAGTGTTCGCTTCTCCTACCACCCCACTTTTTTATGGTGTACACTTTATTATGCAAGGTTATACAGTTACATATTTGATTTTATACAAAAAATGAACATTAAGAGGACACACAAAAAAGTTCGCTTCCTAGAGGCTGTAGATTTCCTCGAACTCCTCCGACGCCGGGCAGGAACCGAGGATGCAGCGAGCATTCCCCCTCTGGATTGCGACACTGAGGCGCTGAAAGAGAAAACTTGCTGCTCTAGGGTCTCTTGTGGTGTCAATGAGCTTGGAACCAAGATCCTTAAGAAACCTTCCTGCACTCTCTCCCCATGGGCCTAAGATCTCAGACCCTATTGGAACGAAGTTGTACCGATGATCTAATTGCCTGTACTTGGCTGACTTGTCTCTTTCTCTGCGGGTCGCCGCGGCTCCTGCTGTGCCGGCAGAGAGGTTGATGTATGTGGTTGCCAGGGTGGATACAAAAGTATAGTCCCATGCTAACTGTCTGCCACCCTTCCACGGTCACAGTGTGATTCCGTCTGGTCGGCCGGCAAAGCTAACAGAGTCACGGTTCAATAGGTTGCGGGGCTCTCTCTCCGCTGGACACTGAGCAGAGGCAAGGCTTCTTTTAATGATGTCATTGACTTCGTCGTGTCTAGTGTGCCATCCACCAGATTTTCCACAGTGCAGGCCATGCAATCCATATTCGTCAGCATCTGCCTCGCCGCAAATACACCTATGAACAGTGTGGATAGGGGCAGCAAGACGGAGAGCAACTGCAATACGGAGCTCCTGCGGATCAAGACGAGTGCCTGTCGCAGACATAGGGACTGCCAAAAGGAAGTCCCCTGCATGGGGAGCCTGCACAGCTGTGAGGCGTGCACGATCACTGGAGGTTGTTGCTGCCTCCAGCAAAGCTGTGGCTTCTTTGTCTACAATGGGGCTGTCCCAACTGGATTGTTTCTTGGCTTTCGGCATGGCTGGTCTGAGTGCTGGGTCTGCCATGGCACCCCATTTCGTGTCGCATTTCGTGTAGTGGGGGTCCTGTATCCCTGCTACATCACTCAGGGTGTCAGGTAGAATTTCCTTAACCAGGTCATCTGATGCTGAGGAGGAAGACAGGAAGGCTGGGAC